GTCTTGAAAGTTGTTTGGAAATTATGTTGTGAGGTGTGTTTGAAAATGGCAAGGAAGTTTTGCAAGATTTTTGATCAAGTAACTAAGAGTCGTCTACCCTATTTTACTCAAATATCTTTCTTATGTTTTTAACCCTTTTAACAGTGTTGTTTCACCATTGCATTTGATGAACAACCTTGTGTTAGGATGTTAAACGGGACAGGCGCGGGTCATCGTATACAATCATTGAAAGCAACTTGTGAGACGCTCTAGCAATTTTGTAAGGGATGAGATCATTTTATCGGAGGCAACATCGAGGGTCATCGAGGGACTACGATCTTTGTTTATCGAAGGGGCATTTGCTAGAGTGTCTCATACTCGAGGGACATGATTGCATTTTCCGAAGCAACGAGCGAGGTTACCCTAGGGGTGCGAGTGTGAATTGTGTATTGATTTTCATGCATTTATCTTGTATTATGTCATCTAGTGATTGATTTTGAATGTTCGCATATAAACCCTAATTATTATACAGTATATTGAAAGCGATAAATTGCGGGAATTTAAAGTCTAAGTTATTACAAATAAGTATCCGGGGATGGGGGTACAAATTATATACAAATGGGGATGAGTCTTATCAGAACAATAATGTCCAAATATTATGGGTTACAACCAAATCGAACTGCCGCAATTCAATGTAAAATTATAACAAAGTATAAGATAATGAAAATTAAAGAAATATGAGATGCATGTATTTATTTACAAATGATCAAATAAAAATTTTAACCTAAGAAAGATTAAGTATTTATTATTTTTGTATTTTGTTAATTATGAAAAGAAAGGATCAATTGCCTAAATTAATGTTTAAGATAATTCTTGTATTTTATTAATTAAAAAAGTTTTAAAAAAAAATTGCTCAAATTAAGCTAACTGTTCTTTTTTTGTATTTTTATTATTTTAAAACAAGATTAATAAAGAAAAATAAAATTAGTTTAAAAATAAAGTAAAACAAAAATTTAATTAGTGTTTTTATCAACTAAAAGAAAATAAATTAGAGAAAATGATATCTTTGAAGAGATAAAAAGAAAGATGGGCCTAGGATTATGGCCCAAAAATAAAAAGAAGGAGAACAAGAATCAGGGGGGGTGTGGGCGCTAGAAAATACTTGGGCTTTAGGCGTTTTGTTTGGGCAAAGGCCCAGAATGGAATATACAATATTTTGTTAGGGTTGCTTCAGTTTAGGGTTCGTGCGTTTTTTGGCCACAACGGCGCCACTTCTCTCATCTTCTTCGTTTCTCTCATCTCTCTAAAATCTATGAGTTTCTGATACTCTTCCTGAGTCCGGCTACTGGAGCGCCGCCCCCTTCCACTCTTTCAATCTCTCACAGTGGTCCAAGCTTGGTGTTTCGAAAAGGTGCGAATTGTTCATTCATGTTTTTTAGGGTTTCAAAGTTACATTTGGGTGATTCTTGTACGTTTATTACTTGCATGTTTTGACTCTTATGGTGTTTTGATGTTTATCTGTAGTAAAAACTTGAGGGTTTGAGAGACGTACCTTGAACGTATTGCTTCTGAGAACGATGGAGGGAGGGAGAGGGCTTGGTGGCGCCTCCTTGGTGGCTGGAGCGGAGGGAGAGCGTGATGGTTGCTTGCTTTGGCTTCTGGTATTTCTGTATCTTTGAACGTTTAATGATGATCTTGTTTCTGAAAACTATATTATTTGAACCTTGCTTGCTTTTGTCTCTTGTTGATGATGAAGGATATACTTCTGAAATTCTTCCTTTTTTGATATGTTTTTGTTGGCTTGATGATTCGTTGATAATGAAGCTATATTCTGAAACTTCTTTGTTGTTTTGCCTCTACACTCTTCCTCTCTCTTTGTGAGTTATTTGATGTCAATGATGATGATGTTCTGAGATTAGCTATTGTTGTTGCTTCTAAACTCTTCCTCTTTCTGGTTTTGTCAATGATGAACAATACCTCTGAGATTTTTGTTGGTGATGTTGAGATGCAGTTTTTACAGGTTTGTAGAGCTTTGAATAAGTTTGGAAACAGGCTTGTGGTGAGTTGTAGTTCTGCAGGCCTGTTATGCAGGTTTGCTACTGGTTTGCTATTGGTTCTGAGCTTTTGTGCAGGTTTTCAAGTTTGTAGCACAGATTTGTGATTTTGGAGGCAGGCTTGTGTTTTGGTTTTGAGAGTTTGAGTTTTGGAAGCAGGCTTGAACTGAGTGTTTTAGTTTTAGCTTGCAGTTTATGCAGGTTTGAGCTTACAGGTTTGTTGTGTTTGTAAGGCAGGCTTTGAACTTGTTTGGATTTTAGCTTGCAGTTTTGCAGGTTGTTGAGTTTTGGGAAGGCAGGCTTGCTGTTGAGTGTTGGAAGGCAGGCTTGCTGTTAGTTTTGGAAGGCAGGCTTGCTGTTAGTTTTTAGCTTGCAGTTTTGCAGGTTATTGCGTTTTGTAATACAGGTTATGCAATGCAAATTTGGTGGGCTCTCTCCTCTCCTGGACTGTTATGCAGTCTTGCTCTTTTATATTGTTATACCCCAAAATTTGCCCTCTCATTTCATCAACATTTCCTCATCACAAGACTCATGAACTCACTACAAGAAAATTAGTGTTTAACGACACAAAAATTGCGACAGTTATGTGATAACTGTCGTAATTGACATATAGAGACAGTGTTTACGACAGTTGACACCAACCGTCCCTAATATTTATTTTGCGACGGTATATTTAACCATCATAATATTATTATTACGACGATAAAACAACCGTCGGCCCCCATTTAACACTTTTAACATTGATTTTTCACCAACAACTAGTCACGACGGTAAAATTAACCGTCCTAAAAGGCATATCACGACGGTAAAGCACCCTTCGCACCCTTAAACCTTTCACGACGGTAAAATTATCCGTCCTAAAATTCATTTCACGACGGTAAAACAACCGTCGCACCCAAAACCTTTAAAAAAGTTTAAAATTAAAATATAATTTATTCTGATACAAAATTGTGATTGATCGATAGTATAAAATTAATTTACACAATCAGGGCAACACTATTTTTTCTGATTTTATAAAATATTTTAAAATCTTTAAAAAAAAACTTATAAATATAATCTCAATCCAACAATCCCATATTTGGCTTAAACATCGTAACCATACCAAATTTAAGTCCCGTACACATAATCGGTACCAGACGACACGTCCTTTTGGCTCCACCGCTTTTTTCTCTTCAGTCAGTTTCTGGGGTGAGAGTGTTTAGCTATGGTAGCTTTCGTTCAACATCAGATTCCGTTGCAGAAGTCACTATCTCCTATAACCTGACACGCTTACAATTCTCACATGGTTCGTTCATTCTCTCTTCTTAATTGGGGTCCCAATTTTGCTTGACTTTTTAAAACCCTCAATTTTAACCATAAATAACTTCCTTACTTGCGCCGAAGGGTTTGCTATTTAATTTTCAGGTTTTTTGTTTGAAATCGGTGTCCGAGATCTGTTTTTATCGTGTGGTTTTTATTAATTAATGTTTTTTTTTTGTCGGTAGAATTGACAAATCTAGTTTGCCATATTTTATATTTTGATTCAATAAAGTGAGTCTCAAATTCACTTGGTTGTGTTATGTATGAATAGTATGAATATAGTGTATGTATTCACTTTGATTTGATGTTATAGTTATGATTGTTATAGGATTCTTATAAAAGAAAAAAAAATGTATGTTTTAGCTGGTTGCAGAAATTGAGGACTACATCATATAATAGACAACAAGATTTTAATACAATGGGGGAGAACCCCGGAAGTGGGAGCCAGTATGTCGCAGTAGGTGAATCGGCTTCCCCGAAGGCAACAAATCATATGAGGAAAGTTTCAGTTTTACCTCTTGTGTTTCTCATCTTCTATGAGGTATCAGGAGGGCCTTTTGGTGTTGAGGATACTGTGAAAGCAGCTGGTCCTTTGTTAGCTTTACTTGGATTTTTGGTTTTTCCGTTTATATGGAGTGTTCCGGAAGCTTTGATAACGGCTGAAATGGGTACCATGTTCCCTGAAAATAGTGGTTATGTTGTTTGGGTTTCGACTGCTTTGGGTCCGTTTTGGGGGTTTCAGCAGGGTTGGATGAAGTGGCTTAGTGGCGTGATTGACAATGCTTTGTATCCTGTTTTGTTTCTTGATTATCTTAAGGATTTGCTGATAAGATTAGAAGGAATACTAATCTCTGCAATTTAGGTGAACAAATTTTGATCATATGTTTTTTTTAGAGAATCTTATTTACATTATTACATAATCTGCTTTTGACAGTCAATGTATAGTCGCTATCTGGATCTCCTTCCAATTTCCAAGTTTACACTGCTTTATTGAAACCTCATGAGAGAATTATGGCACTCGATATTCCCCATGGTGGGCATCTTTCACATGGATATCAGGTAAGTTCTGCTTTTAATTACCATTTGTGTTCATTGCACCTGCTGCCATGAGTTGACAACCATAGCAAGTATGCACTAGCCACTAGGATATGACAAATAAATGTTGCTGCAAAAATGGCACTTAAGTGACTGGTATATTGTCATTTTTTTTGTTTTTGCTTATTTAGGTAAGAAAACAATTTATCAAGGAAAGAAATTAAAACAGGACTTCTCTTAAGACAACAAAAAAAAATTAGTAAATAAACAAAAGGGAAAAGAAGTCGGTTAAAAAATGTATTATATAGGAAGTATGAGCAGTTGTGGTCAAAATCATACAAGGAAGCTAAGACCCTGTGGTAGGATCTAAGTTGGGAGAATTCTCTCCTATTCTATCATATTTCTTAATAAAAAAAGTGTTCTTTCTTTGGAACCCAATTCTTGGGTTTCTAACACATTGCATACTGATTTCCAGTCCCTGGGTTAAAACAGCGTCATAAATCACACATGAGTAATTACTAGTCGCATTGTTTTCTTCTCAGATTGACATTATAGGCTGCAATTAATTTATACATTTTTTTTATCATATAACACATTGTGTTTGTAATATTTGTTCTTTTAAAGTTGTCATAAATGAGCTTCTGTGCCTGTATGAATTAACCAAATGTTCTTAATGACCTTGTTTTTTTTTTATAGAAAAATCAGTCTTATCGGTGGATGCTTTAGAGAAAATGATGGAGGACCCAACAGTGATGTGCTTGGCTTGAAACCATAGGTCTTATTGCTGGGATAGGGACTCAGGTAAAAGGACTAATTCGGTTAAACTTCGACTCGGTGTTTTCATAGAATGTGTGCATCGTAACTCATACTTTTCATGGTTGGAATTCGGAAAGGCGTATGCAGGATCACAAACATTGCAGAGTATAATCCTACTCTCGACAGGCACGAATAAAGGCGGAGGGTACTTTGCCCCGAAATGGCTATTCTTATGTATGTACATTGGCCTCACTGTTATTTGGGCAGCATTGAACACATTTGCGTTAGAAGTTATCGCCTTCATCGATATAATTTCAATATGGTGGCAGGTACTTTTGCTTCTTTATCTAACTATTCCAACTTACTGATTACAGTGAATGCGTTGTATCTTGACTCTAAAATGTACATCACAATTTACTCATAATCATTTTTACTGTGACAGGTTATTGGTGGAGCAGTGATAGTTATAATGTTACCTCTAGTGGCACTAACTACACAATCAGCTTCATATGTATTCACAAACTTTGAATTAGCACCTAATACAACAGGAATATCAAGCAAACCGTATGCGGTGATTCTATCGTTTCTTGTGAGCCAATATTCCCTCTATGGATACGATGCTGCAGCGCATCTAACCGAAGAAACTAAAGGCGCGGACAAGAACGGACCTATTGCAATACTAGGTAGTCTTGCCATCATTTCAGTATTTGGTTGGGCTTATATCTTGGCACTCACATTCAGCATTCAGGTATAAATAAATATAATCAACCAATTAACACTTCAGTTTTTGACAGAAGAGTGATAATTAACACCGGTTTCCATCTCTGATTCAGGATTTCGCTTATCTTTATGATCCAAACAATGAGACTGCTGGAGCATTTGTGCCAGCACAGATATTGTATGATGCATTCCATGGAAGATATCACAATTCTGCAGGAGCAATAGTTCTACTATTTATAATTTGGGGTTCTTTCTTCTTTGGTGGACTTTCAATCACCACAAGCGCTGCCAGAGTCGTAAGTACTACGACCCTACGAGCCTTTTTGATTTTGATTGATTTATTTGAGTTTATCTTAAACAATGTAATTTTCAGGTTTATGCACTGTCAAGAGATAAGGGAGTGTCGTTTTCGTTCCTATGGCGAAAATTGCATCCAAAGCACAAGGTTCCTACAAATGTTGTATGGCTATGTGCAGCAATATGCATTCTTCTTGGTCTACCAATATTGAAGGTGAATGTGGTATTTACTGCAATAACTTCAATATGCACAATTGGTTGGGTTGGTGGTTATGCAGTTCCAATATTTGCAAGAATGGTAATGCCTGAGAAGAATTTCAAGGCTGGACCATTTTATTTGGGAAAGGCAAGAAGACCAATTTGTTACATTGCAATCCACACAATGTGTGTTCTTCGTATTTATGGTTGCCATTGGATATAGATATATAATCAATAGTTAATAAGTTACTTGAGTTTCAATTGTAGTTAAGTAGCAGGTGTTGAAGTTGTTGGTAAATGCCACAGTGATATTGGCGGTGTTCAGATTTATTCTGCCCTCTTGAAAGTTGATTGAACAAGTTGCATTGATGGATGCTAAAGAACCAATTTGAACTGATACCTACTCCATGATGTGAAGAATGATCCCAATGAGCTGCCTCTAATAGATACAACAAAATGCAGAGATCTTTCATATGGGGATACAATGAATGTGCCAAACAACTTCATAAAATCCACTGGAAGAAGATCACTTGTGCTAAGAATCAGGGAGGTTTGGGGCAAAGAAATCTCATTGACATTGGGCTTGCATCGCTAAACTGGCTTGGAAGTTAAAGAGTGGTGAAAGAGCTTTGTGGTGTGAAATCTCATTGATATTGGGTCTTCCTATCTTAGTACTTTATTATAGGGAGTGTTAGTTTTTGAACTCAGTTGTAATTGGAGAGTGGCTTTCTAGAATCAGTCAGTTTATTGCATACTCTGAATTCTTTTGAGAATTCTTATCTTCTTTCCTTGTACCAGTTGAACCTTCCATAATTCATGTCATCTATCTTTAAATTGTTGACTCTGTCTTAACCCTTTATGCAGGAGAAGAAAGCTCTGAAGGAAGAAAAATTGAAGCAAGAGGAGAAATACACATGGGCTATTGTCGACGGTGTTAAAGAGAAGGTAAAGAAGAGAATGTTGATTGTGAGGAAAACTGCAAGAGAGGAATAAGTTTTGGAAGCCATTTTAGTAAAACTCTTGTAGTAATATAGCTAGTATTATGTTGCAAATACTAGTTATTAGCTACTATGGCTTAAGGGGAGAGTGTGAGTTATAGTTGTGTATGATATAGGGGTTTATATAGTGCTTGTGAGGTTTTACAGTATACCATGTGGGATGAGTTGTATAAAGAAGTAATGGACAAAATGTATAATAATTATAAATTATGAAATGGTACAATAGGAGAGATTTTCCTGCCCCTCTTCCTCAATGATATTAGGACAATGAATTCTTACATGATGTCTTTGGTTTCACACCCAAGAAAAAGCTTAACAATGGTGAGCACAGAATGTCTGGTGGTGAAAAGGTGAGTTTTGTCCTGGTAGTTGTGCTACATAATCTCGTGATTTAGTTCATGACTTTCTCCAGATTTCACTTATTATCTGCTGATCTCCCTAAATTTTTTACATGCAGAGGATGTTCAAGTCACCAAATTCTGTTTTGAACAAGGCTAGGACCCAATTACTTAACAAGCAGCGGGTATTATCGGAGGTTAGCATTCTTGCTATATCAGTTGCATGATTTCATCTTTTCTAATTTATACATGATACAATTCAAAGTCTAAACATTTGTGAAAACCTTCGTTGAAATATATGTTCAATAAAATATGTCATTTATGAAAACTTTGTTGTCACTTATGCAAACATCTGATAAATTTAGATAGCACAAAATTACTTGTATTTGTCCCTTTGGATTTAGTTTGACTGGATTCCATTTTTGTTGAATCAAACAGGGCAGGAACTTCGGGCATTATTCAGTCAGTATGGGAGATGATGAGACATGAGTTTGAGTGGGAACACAATATGATGTAATGCTTTATTTCAGGATTATATTATTCATTTGGACATGTATTTATCGTGTCCACTGTCGCTTTGTTGTATGGAATTGTTTAACTTAATCGTTTGCGAACTAGATTCGGGTAATATCGTACGATATTACTTTAAAACAATACTCCAGCTGATTCTATTCTTATACAACACCTTTTATACCCCTTTTTGGCTTCTTTTATAAGAATATTTTTGTATTGATGTTAAATATTTTTTATTGAAATTATTTTTACTATATTACAAAGTGATAGAAAATAAAACAAAAAATAATACTATAAATAAATATATTAAAGAAGAAATAATTTAAAGAAAAAAAGAACACAAAAAAAAACTATATTTAAATTTTTTTACATAGATAATAATTTAAATAAAAAATATATATAATAGAAAAATAAAAAAAATCAAGACATAAACAAAAGTCATGGCGACAGTACCGAACCGTCGCCATAAACAATTTAATCAATTTCAAAAGATATTCACGACAGTATCGAACCGTCGCCATCAATAATTAAAAGAAACTCAAAAGATAGTCACGACGGTATCAACCTGTCGTAAACATGAACGACAGTTTTTGTAACCGTCGCGAAATAGGTTGGGGACACACACTTCTGCGACGGTAAAGCAACCGTCGTGGAAAGAAAATTGCGACGGTTTTAACCGTCGTAATCTACAAAAATACCTGTCGCAATCTGCCAATTTTCTTGTAGTGACTCAGGATCAAGCTAGGGTTTGTTATGCTCAAGACCCCTCCTTGCACTGTTGACCCAAATTAGGGTTTGAGTTTGCACAAAGATATTTTGATTTAAAATGCTCAAAGTGACTTTCATACTTCATGTTGGACTCATAAGTTTGTCCTTACCAAGTTCCAAGCCTTGATTCAAATTTTTGCCCAATCAATTGGATAGTTGACCAAGAAATCAGCTGTATTGGGGAAAAAGTCAACTATGGCCAATTGACAGTCAAACCTCATGGATTTTGACCCACATCAACATTATGAACTCATATGGACTATTTGATCAAGTTTGGATCACAATTCCACAAGAAATTTGATCAGATCACCAAAAGGGTAAAATGGTCATTTTTAGGGTTTTGACTGCACAAAAGCAATTTTTGACTGTTTGACCTAGCCAATGGCAAACCAAGCTCACATATGGACTCAAGGACCCAATTACATTGTCTTTACCCATTCAACAAGTCCAAAAGATCTCAAATGCATAGGATTGACAGATGAATTTTTCAGTCAGTTGATCAAAATTTGACTGTACACTGAAAAGTCAAACTTTGACTTTTTGGTCAAAATCAAGTGCCAGATTCATTTTTCATCAAGACATGTAAAATTGTGAAACTTGTTCATCAAGAAACCCAAAAATGCAAATTAGGGTTTAAAATGGAAAATTTTCATAACTTAGAATTTTTCTAAGTTATGAAATTTTCTTATTTTTTCCTAACTTTGTCCCATTTTTTCACCAAGATCCAAGTGGTTTCAAACAAAACTTGCAACATGAAAGTTGTAGTCCATTGCAAAATCTATAACTTTGACTCACAAAGTTTTCTCAAAGGAATCTTGTATCTCAAATTATGATTTTTGGAACAAGGGTGCAAAACATTTTTAACTTAGAGAAATTTGTCCTATTCTAGGCAGGATTTTTGTCCAACTTCTTGGCCATTTTTCACATGGTTCCACTTGGAGTTTCAATTTTAATTACAAAGATGTATTGTAGTACACATTCCAAGATTTCCAAATTGTCCAAGAACTTCTCAAACACCCTTGTGGTTAGAGAGAATCGAATTTGCAAAGTTGGCCAAAACTCACTTTTGTTCATGGTCAAGGCTTGTGCATAACACTTGCATTTTCAAATCAGTTTGTGTATTGCTAGCTTGCAGGCCTCAAGACCAAGTTTACACTCCTTAATTCAATGCCTAACCATTGTGTTAAGACTTTATTTCATTCATTTAGACAATACATGCTAAATTAATCCTTAATTGGAAAAAGCAAACTTGTCATTTTGGAAAAGTGATACTTTATGTCAAGTTCCAAATCTTGGAGGCATGGGCCAGATCTTTGAGGCAAGAGTTTGTACACATATCCCATTTATCAAGAGCAAATGTTGCAGCCTAGGGACAGAGAGTATACAGGCCTGCATTGCAACTTGAGTTTTCTTACTTACATTTGAAGTAACTTTGCAAAACATATGCAACTTTCACTTCCTGAAAACCAGAGCTTAAGCAAACCTTGTACTCATCTTCCATACATCCCAACTGACCTAAGGCACGACTCAACCATCCCTCATACCTTCCAAAACACCAAAACACCACCTTGCTGCAAAAACAGGGCACCTGCTGCAGATTGAGGTCCATAACTCAATCCACTCGTGCACTTTGGCTAAAAACCCTTCAAACATCTTCCATACCATCCACTGAAACTATCCCAAGCCTTGAACTCAAGATGTAACACCCCTAACCACGTTTGCCATTTTTACTTTCAAGCTGTGCAGGTGAACTTATGTGGCACGATTCAGAGTGATTCAAAGCAAGCTAGGCATTTGGGAAGCATCCTTGGACTCCAGGCAAGCTCAACAAAAGCTCAAAATCCATTGGAAGTTGCTACATTGCTTTGTTCAAGTCAAGCTGAAACAGGTAATCTATGGACTTCTATCTCTCTATCCAGGCATGATTAAGCTTAGGTTTGTGAATGAAACATGCTCTACTCATAGCCCTGAAGCCATACATGTGTTTACTTTTCATTTATATTATGCATGCTGTGAGAATTTTGGCCATGAACATTGAAGAAAAACTAGGTCAGAAATTGGGGGTGAAGAAATTCTCCCTGGTTTCTTAGAGTTAAGTCAAGTTTTTTACATATTTGGAATCGTGGTTTGATGCTCTACATTATTTGTGTTATGAGTTTTTGTTAAAAGTCAAGGAATCAAGAGATAGCAGGTGTAGAAGGAAGCGCGCGTTTTTGTTGTTCAAACATGGCTGGAGGTTGAGAACAGAGTTGGCTTGGGCTGGGCCTGAGTCAACTTGCTGTTTACACCCCTTTTTTCCATTTGCACCCCCCATGGCCCATTATGTGAAATACTTGTCATTTTTGCATTTTTCTTTTTTATTCTGATTTTATATTTTTTGCTCAAGCATGAAAAGCTCCAAAAATATTTTTCCACATTTTTTTGCATTTATTTGGAATTTATTTGCTTTATTAGAATATATGTATGTAAATAAATATATTTCCTTTTCATTTTAAAACCCTAAAAATAATACAAAAAATATTTATTTTTAGTTTTTATTTTTTATTTTCATTTTGAAAACATTTTCTAAAAGATACATTTTTGTAAATAAATAATATTCTATTTTTGTACATATTTAGCATATTAAATATATATAATATATACTTGTACATATTTTATTAAATATTTAAGGCAAAAATACAAAAATAATACTTTTTATTTTTTTATTTAATATTTGACATCAAAAATACTTTTTCTACAATATACTTTTTTTTATTATTATTTTTGTATAAATCAATAATACATTGTACATAATTAATAAATAAATACTATTTGCTTGAAAATTAGGGTTTTGCCCTAAACAACAAAAATAATCAAAAATATGACTTTTTTTTATTTTGTCTATACTTCAAACATGAAAACCTTTTTACATACATGAAAAATCCTTCTTTGCATAATACATTGCATTTTGATATTTATTTGAATTGTATTTACTTAAATATTAATTTGTATATTCGATATGGATGTAATAGCTTAGAATTTAATTTCTTGTCAAATACCCCCAAATTCAAACTTGTACCCCCATCCCCATAATCATGTTGTAATAATTTAGGACTTTAAATTTCTGCATTTTAAAAAGCTTTCAATTATACCATGTTTAGACTTAGGGTTTGTATGCAAATCAAATTAACAAATAGCTTGGCTAATACAAAGACAAAAAAGCATGAAAATTGACAACACAATGCACACTTGCACCCTTAGGGTTACTCCACTTGTTGCCTTCAAAAATGGGCCATGTTTGCATGTTGAGTTTCTTTGGCAAAGCAAAAACAAATCAAATGATCATAGTCCCTCGATGACGCTCTCAAGTTGCCTAAACAAAAATGATCAAGTCCCTTAAGAAAAATTGCCAAAGATACTTGACTCTATTGCTTCCATGGTCTATACGATGACCCGTGCCCGTCCCGTTAACATCCTGACACAAGGTTGTTCACCAAATACAATGGTGAAACAACACTGTTAAAAGGGTTAAAACATGAGAAAAATCTTTGAGAAATTTAGGATAGATAGCTCTTGGTTACTTGACCAAACTTGCAAAACAAATCCTTGCCTTTTTTCAAAACACACATCACAATACAACTTCAAAACAACTTTCAAAAACATTGAAACATGTTTTCAAAAAGACAAACACCTTTGTATACATTCAAACAAGAATCATTACAAAGGTTGCCACAACAATGGCCTCTCTTCAAAACATCTTTTAAAATCACACACAAAGCACCATTTCAAACAATTGAAAGCACCATTTCAAACAATTGAAAAGCAAAGGCAAGTGATCTAAGCAAGTAACTAAGAGCCCATGGATAACCATGGATAGAAAGGGTGCTAATACCTTCCCTTTCTATAATCTACTCCCCGAACCCAAGAAAACATCTCAAAGGTTTTTCCTGTGCTTTTTAACCTTTCCTTAGGATAAAATAAAAAGTCAGCGGTGACTCTTGCTCAACCGAAACATTTGCAAAAACAAACGCAAAACCAAGTCAGTTCTCCCACCGTATCACATATATCTTTTGTGTTCTCTTACTGTCTTGAACAATAGCCTGCTTTTGCCAAAACTGCAAACTTTTTCTGGTTCTCTCTTTCTCTCTCCCCATAAGCATTTTTAATTGCTTATTATAATATATTTCTGAAAAGCTTGTTGGGTCAGAAAATGATTATGAAATTGACAA